AACGATATCCGTCATTTGTTCCTCTCCTCTGAAATAATTTGTTCCATAGCCATTTCTCCCCTGTTTCCATCAGCCCCAGAGCTAAATTCAACAGTAAATCTTTAAAAAATTTGTGGGGATTTTCTTTGTTGACCTTATTACCTCCTTCCGAATCTACAGAGTTGGAGTTTCGGTTCTTTTTTATCCCATTTCGAATAATACATTTTTCTCTCTCTTTCTCTGTACCTGAAAGTTTGTCTTCTTGATTCATTTCCCTCAATTCAATCCAAGCAATCTTTTTCTCACCAAAAATTGAAAACCCTTTTGTTGTATGCTGTTTTCTCTCCCAAAAATCGATAAAAATTCAATCTTGTTCTGTAATGATGATGACAATGGAGGGAATGATGGATAAGGGAGTATTGGATGACGTACTAAAGAGGTTATTGGAGGGTGGAGGAGGCAAGCAGGTACAGCTTTCTGAGGGAGAGATCCGTCAGCTTTGCATTAATGCTCGTCAAATCTTCCTCTCACAGCCCAATCTCGTCGATGTTCAAGCTCCCATTCGCATCTGTGGTATGCCCTCCTCTTTTTCTCTCATTTGTGGATGTTTAATGCATTTGGGTTGGATTTTGATGAGATCAGCTGTTGAAATTTGAAGGAAACTTTGGAATGCACGCAACCCATGATCTTAAAACTCTCTGCATTTGATGTCAATTTATGTATGGGTTTGTATAACCTGTATTTTAAGAATACAAGTTAAAAGGTGTATTAAGTACACCTTTTCATCATAAATTTATGTATTTTTTCTAGGCTTAATTCAAAAAATCATCTACTAACTTTCAGTTTAATTTCAGTTTAGTCTAGAAAGTTTGTTTCATTTCTAAATGATCTAGAAACTTTGAAAAATATTTCAAATTAGTCTACCGTACAAAGAGGACGTTAGATTGCCGTTAGATATGAAGAAAGAGCAGTCCTTTGAGTTTTAAAAAAGTGACACTTAAATCTTAATAAAATATGATGAATCAAAAAATAGTTTATAGAGATAGATTGTAATTCAGACAGAGAAATTTAGTAAGTTCAAAATAAGAAATTTTAAGAGTAAATCTATTTTATGGGACAAACTGTATACAATCTGTCTTATAAAATTATTTAAATGTTCATACAAAAATAATATAAAAATAGAATTAAGGGTATTTAAATAATTTTACATGGTGGACTGAAAGCAGTCTGCTCTGTAAAACAATTTTTTGAAAAACACATTTAGCAAAATAAGAATAAAACCTATTTTTACTGTGAATATAAATTTAAGGACTAAAAGATTAAAAGAAACATAGTTAGAGTACTAAGGTTTAAGAAGATTTTTGTTAGGATTTCTGTTAACTTTAACTAACTAGATGAAATTGAAATAAATGTGAAAGATAATAGATAGAATTGAAACAATTCAAAGATAATAGATGAAATTGAAATTAAATTGAAAGTTAGTAGATGATTTTTTGAATTAAGCCATTTTTTCTATCATTGTTTACCTTTTGTAGGTGATATACATGGACAGTACCAGGACCTTCTGAGGCTATTTGAGTATGGTGGGTACCCTCCTGATGCAAACTATCTGTTTCTCGGGGATTATGTAGATCGAGGCAAGCAAAGTTTGGAGACGATATGCTTGCTTTTGGCCTATAAAATAAGATATCCTGATAGGATTTGTCTCTTGAGGGGAAACCATGAAGAGGCAAAGGTGAATCGAATTTATGGGTTTTATGATGAGTGTAAGAGGAGATTCAATGTTAGGCTTTGGAAAATATTTACGGACTGCTTTAATTGTTTGCCTGTGGCTGCTCTTATTGATGAAAAGATACTCTGCATGCATGGAGGGCTGTCCCCAGAGTTGGAAAATTTGAATCAAATAAGGGAAATTCAGAGGCCAACTGAAATTCCAGACAGTGGTCTCCTCTGTGATCTGCTATGGTCTGATCCCAATCCCAAGATTGAGGGATGGGGAGAGAGTGATCGAGGAGTTTCGTGTACTTTTGGAGCTGATGTAGTTCATGACTTTTTAGACAAGAATGACCTTGATCTCATTTGCCGTGGTCATCAGGTAAGCCATTATTAAGCACTGCCATTCTTCATTTCCTTCCCCTTCCCACTTCATTTCCGAATTCCAAATCCTGGAAATTACACCTTCCCAAGAGAGATGTTTAAAGATGCCCCCTTCTGAATCCCAGACTCGGTTGCCATAAAGATGTTCCATGCCTCTTTCTTTTCTTTTCTTTTCTTTGTTTTGATTGGAGTGTTGTTTGGTAAATTTGATGCGTAAGTTGGGATTACTTTGCTACAGCTATTGCAAAAATGTATGCGTTAGATGTTCTGTGCCGAAGAAATATGTAGATGTTTTAGCAGCTGTTATACTGACCTTAACCTCCCCAGCACACCAAATAGGTGACTGGATATGTCTTTGCATGATTGTTGGTGGTAGACACCAGTAGCCATTGTTAGGTACCCTGATGAATCTTCATCTAAACATGTCCAGATTGAGACTTTTCAAAGTTACAAATTGCAGGTTGTGGAGGATGGCTATGAGTTTTTTGCTAACCGAAGATTAGTTACAATATTTTCGGCCCCGAACTATGGTGGTGAATTTGACAATGTTGGTGCTCTATTGAGTGTTGATGAAGCTCTTGTATGCTCCTTTGATATATTGAAACCAGTTGACAATAAAGCATCATCTAGCAATGCTAACAAGGTCCCCCTGAAGAAGGTACTGAAACATCAGAAATGGTATCATATGTTAGATACCAGAGGAAAATCAAAGCTTGTCCTCTGCACTTCCTCATTTCTCTACATAATTTGATCGTTTATCTTTGCTTCCTCTTTGCATGCAGCCCCATAAAATCTAAGGAGGCTTGATGCACCATGAAAGAGGGGGTTTTGGAGTTCTTGTTCATTCCATCAAGTAGGAAATACAGTAATCTGATTCAATCTAGGGCTTCGGTTACCTGTTGGCTAAAGGATCAGCTAGGAAGCCTGCCAGAAGTCGATGCTAGCCAGCAATTTAATTGCAAGGAAGTTATCAAAAAGTTTAAAAAAAAAAAAAAGGGAGGTCTGTACAAGAACGATGCTGCATTAGCAGAAATTTTGCGTTGTAGATATTATTGAGGTACCTTGTACTTTGGATACTCACTATCAGCTATCAACTATCAACTATCAACTATCAACATGCCATTAGCAAGTATCCAAAAGGAAATAGATCGTCTTGATTTGTGTTGAATATATTTGTACATTTGTTGTTTTGTTTAGATCAAGTGCCTGCTGAAAAGTCACAGGGATATGGTCGAATAGCTTGAGTTTCCTTTCCTCAACTAAAGTCAATTCACACATGGAGTAGCTTGCATGCTCTAATTAGAGTAAATTTCACTTTTTCCACCTAATAATTGATCTTTCTCATTGATATACGTCTTTTAAGATGTTTCATTTACAACACAATGGTCCCTTCTATTAGCCTAGGAATTATTTTCATAATTCCAATTACCCCTTTAGGATGTGCATAAGTGAAATTCCCTTGATTGCACTCTTAATTTTCAAGGAAGAATCATAGCCACGATAATGGTATTAACAACTAATCTGGTCACTTTATAATAATTAAGGATCAAGAGGTCATTTAATTGTGTCTCAGCAAAATCGTCAGACACAGAAAAGGAATTTGTTCATGTTATACCAAAACATATTTCCATCAACATCCTCAAAATTGTATGTGATGTTCTAAGTTTCTAACAACATAATGATTCACTTACCTTCTAGTTCTCCTTTCCATGTAAACAAACAGCTTGACCAATAAAGTCCCAGAAGAAGAGCTTGAAAGATCATAGACACTGGCTACTGATCTGCGCCAAGGACAACAAACATAAACATGGAACTCTAAACTTCAACAAATGAGATATCGCCTACATTTAGAATAACATCTAATTTTTATTCTTTTAAATAAAAAAATCATCACTCACTTGTTAATTAACTGTAAATGACTGATTCTGCAGTAGCAAGATACTTATTTTCGACTTCCTTTGCGGCTTCCCTGACTGGTAAGGGATGTCTGTTTCATCTTGTCTTCTACTTTCTTTGTGGTGCGTTGAATAGCTGCAAGTTTCTGTCGTTTGCTGTAGCTTTTCCTTTTGCTGCAGAAATAATATTGAATCATTGAAAATGACAATAATAACACACTGAACAATTACAAGGAGAAATGAAACATGAAGAGGATTCCTTCATTTTTCGGAAATGGGCTTAGTCTTTTCTTTTTCAAATTCCTTAACAAATGTCATATTAATAAATTTCTACCACCAGACATCTACTAAGAGGCAAAACAAACCCTTTGTCCACCAGAGAAACAATAAAATGCAAGCCGAAATTTCATGAGATTTTTTCAAATTTCAGGGCCAAGTTTCTAGAAAATAAAAACATAATTCCCAAAATATATAACCTTCTTACTTGCCAACCAATTTTTTCCACTTAAATGTGTCACACTGAAATATAAAGTGCTTCTCTGAATCCAAAAATTCTGTCAACCATCCCATTTGTTTATGAAAACTGGAAATAATAAGTAAATCTAGCATCAATTGACTGCAATCATCCATTATGTATACTTTTCCTAATGCACCATCAAAAATTATCTCTTGTACTGTAACAAAGTCGATGGTAACTTATGCAAAAACCTCTTTCATGTTAGCGACTTTGGGAAAAAATTGTAATTATATTAGGTAACTACAAGAAAGTAGAGCCTAACCTCATAAATAACAGGCCTGCTGTAAGAACCAGCCCTCCTACAGCCCAAGAAACTTTTTCATTAAATGGCATTTCCTGCACCCATTGATGAAAATCTTCTAACCGCCCCAAGTTCCCTGCTTTTGAGGGCACCTCAGATTTTGAAACCCTCCATGAATCAGCTATAGAGTCAAGACTGGCTTTGCCACCATAACAAGATGTTTCTTCAGCACTAACAGCAAAACCTGCAGCATGGCATAGATCTGTCCCATTAGAGACCCATTCAGAAGCTCTACCACAAACAAAGTCATTTACTCCACACGCTGCTAGAACCTGATAACAAATTTGAATCAGGAAATAGACTTTATCAGACATTTTTCAAGCTTTGAATAGTCTGTTAAAAAAAAAGCATTGAACTGACAAGCACTAGACTCCATGAAACAAAGAAAGATTTCAATAAAGCAGCAAATGACTCAAATCAATCATCCAATTCAACAGCTCGAAGAACAGATTGGAATCTTGGATGATGACAAGTTCCCATTAAGAGAACTGCCCTTGCAACTCTAAAAGATTCATTCCATTGAATGTCATAAAGAATTTGTTGACTGCATACTAAAGCAACAGCTGCTGAAGGATCCACAGAAGTGGACACTTCATGTGGAATACCACACCAATATGCAAACTTTTCCAATTAACCAATCCCCACCCCTCAAACCAAAAAAAAAAAAAAAAAAAAAAAAAGAAGGAAAAAGTAAAGAAATTTAGATACAAGGAGGTCAGAGATACCTGTGTCTTTGCATCCATTGCAAAGTAAGCATTTGAACAAGCCTGAAAAACTCTGTCACAAAAAGATTTGCATATACGTGGAGGTCCAGGCTGAACACCAACATGTGGGTCACAAATGGCACATTCCAATAGCTCCCATAAATGCAAGCACTCTGGGTTGGCTTCCCCCGTTGAAGCCAGCCTTCTAATGGAAAGCAAAGCAGGATGTGTCTGGGCTGCCTCACAACAAGTCTTTTTTCTGAAGACCCTACAAAGGGTTAAATCTTTATGCCCCTTACCTATCTTTTTTGGTGGTTTCCCTTCAGAGGAGAAACGTGGGAAACGCCCACCTTGAGATATGCAGACTTGATTAGGTTCTCCTGTATATTGGTAAATTGAATGACTTTTGAGTACAAAGTTTATAACTAGAAATGTGGTCTAACCGACAGCAGGACCTTCTTTAGCTCAAGATAATGAAAATTAAAATAACAACAACAACAACAACAACAATAATAATAATAATAATTCAGTTGACTCAAAGTCTTGATCATGGAGAAATAAGGTGCAATGCCTGTTAAGACTTTAAAATTAAATAGCCAAAAACCTAGCAGTAGAATACAGCTTCAAAGTAAAGCAGCAACAAAAATAGAAAAACAAAACCACAAAGTCACCTTTCCTTTCTGCTCATATTAAGATAACTCCTAAATCCTCAACCAATGTTGGCACAAAAACTCTAGACCCCGACCTCAACCTCTAAACAAGATCAGTGCTCTATACACATATCCATTCACAAGGGAAATTTATAACCTCAAAGAAAAGATTGACTGCTTATATGCCACTTCAAGGCTTACTGACTCTGATAGGAATTCACATGGTTCATCATGAAGACTTAAATTATAAACTCCTTTCTATACCAATAAATAATTTCCAACATCACCCCAGTTCCCAAAGCATTTTATTGATTATCAGCATGAACAAAACATATCAATTTCTTGACTGCTCTAATTTCTAGGATCTGGGTTATCAGAAAAATGAGAGGGTTTTTCTGCATATAAATTTCTTGCTCGAAAATGAAGAGCAATGGTAGAAAAGGGTCAATCTTGCAACTTTAAGACACTTAATAAAATTTCATTAAAAAAGAAAGAACCCAGAACTCAACTAGTTGCTGTCACTGTTATGATTGACTATGGTCAAGGGAAATGCCCTTCGATCGAAACCAGAACAATCAAAACCTTAAATTTTGCAATCAGAGACTAAATAATAAATTAAAAGAACCCAAATTCTTGATTCCTAAACTCAATGGAAAAGGAAAAAATAATAATAATAATAAAGATTAAACCATCACAAAGTTAAAATTCCAAAACAGATAAAACCTGAAGAGAGATGTTTACCAGAGAAAGAAGGGAGTATGAGGTTGAAGAAGAGCAGAATCATGAAAAACCCATACTCCATATCCTTGTTAATTCTTCTTCGTCTTCTTGGATTGGAGCTCTGAGTATGGAAATTAGAGATAAAAAGAAGTCTTCGAGCAGACTGCAGAAAGTGTTAGAAGAACTACAACAACGAGAACAGCGTGTGATGAATAGCACGTGCAACGTCAAAATGTTTTGTCGTTTTGATTGTTGAAGTAACAATCGATACCGATTCGGTCCGAAGAAAAAGGTTATTATTTGATTGGGGTTAGGATCAAACTAAACTTACCTTAGCCTTAATCAATTTATCAGTTCTGACTTAAAAAATAATAATAATAAAGTTTTAATTTAAATTATTTTATTTTATTTAATTAATTCTTAGTTAATAGTAAAAGTTTGGTTATTTTCTACTCTCTAGCTTCTGTACAACTCAGATCGGGTGTTTTATTCTCTTCCTTCTTAGCCGATCCATCCCAAAAAATTTAACTTCTAACATTATAAAAATTCAAACTCTTCATTTACACCTTATACATTATTTTTTTTTTATAGCCAACATTTTCAAGAATTTTTATTTTGATCAACACTCTCTATAATTTAAAATCCATAAAAAAAATTTAAAATCTGTAAAAAACTAAAAATTAACAGTTAAACCCTTATTTATATGAATGTGAAAATTATATATGTGGATTTTAATACAGTGCTTGTATCTAATCTAAAACTAATTAGCAATAGATGAAGTATTAATTAAAAATAATAATAATAAAGTCCTCCTTATATTTAACTCTTATACTTTTTGTTATATATTTAATGTAAAATTTTTTCACTCAACATACTTCCTCATGTGCAAGTTTGTTATAAATGTTGAATTCTGTCACATGATTTAATACACCTCATTACATGCAGATCCAATATTAACTTTAGATCTGTAAAGTGAGATAATAGTGGGTTTTTTAAGACAAAACCTGAGTTCTAATACCATATAAAAATTGTGTAGCCTGGTTGAATACAAGGGAGACAACTTTAGTCAATTGATTTTAGATTAGATATAAATCTTATATTGAAACTCATATGTACAACTTGCACTTGAAAGTTAACTATGAGTGAAAATTATAGAAAGTATTAATTAAAAAAAATAATATGTAAAATGCAACTAAAGGATTTGGCCTATAAAATATAAAATCAAAAAAATTTAAAATTTAACATCATAAAATATAAAATTTAAAATTTAAAAATATAAATTTTAAAAAAATTTAAATACAAAACCCAAACAACTCAAATACAGAACATTAAAATTTTAAACTCTAATGACATTAATTTAAATTAGTTTTAACTAAAAACAATGTAAGGAAACAAAAATGAATTCAAATGGTTAAAAATAAGGATTAAATAACAAATTTACCCTTAAAAAAAAAATCATGTGCCACGTTCCGGTCGGGGCCTGCTAGGGGTTGGCCTTTGATCGGCCTACTAGGGGTCGGTCCCCGCTAGCATTTTCCATTTGATGATATCCCCTTCACTATTGTGGATCTGGCTCACCATGATAATTAAAAGGCCTAAAAACACAGGAAGATAGTCCACATTTACTCCACTCCATTGATGTTGATTCATTGGCTCATTAAAGGCCCACCTCAAATATACTAAAAAACATTTATAATGTTTTAGCCAGGAAAAAATATTTATTATTAAGGTTTTTGAAACACGTTTCTTAAAGGTATAATTAAGCTACTTTTTAGCCATTAAATTATTGATTTTTCTGCCTACCAGGCCCATCAATTACACCATTTTATATAACCGAATCTTTAGATCTAATGATTCGTCCTCAAGTATTAAGGTTATAGTTGGATAAAATTTAGTAAAGGAAAGGATGGGGAGGCGAGGCGAGGGGAAGGAAAGGGAGGAGAAGTGAATGGAAGAAAAAT